AAAAAGTGCCTAGTGAAGTTCGAACCCCTAACTTTCGAGTTGAATGGGTCGTCAGCAATCACAAATGGGCAGGTGTACAAACGTTACGTTAATATGCAACGTCGCATAGGTTATGGGTTATATTAATGGGAAACAAATCCTTTAGACCAACATTATTGGCTTCTGAATATCATAACATGTCAATATTTGATGAACATAAAATTATAATGGTTAAAATTCATATTAGACTACTCTTTGGGTAAAAAAAAAACTGAAAATGAAAGGGTCAGTCCACGATAATTGTGAGGTATCGAGCTTGATTGAAATAATGAAAGTTATACCGCAAAATAATGCCAAAATAGCTAGGAAAGGCAAATTTTAGGAAATATAATGCTCTGAATGTGGTAAGAAAGGAAACTGTGCGAGATTGTGTGTTTATAACCGTCTGGGTGTCTCCCACATGACCGTACTATTCATCGGCGTCTCAACGTTTTATTGTGAATGGTGCAGATTTGACTCCTGGATGCATGTGGTAGTCTAAGCCCCACATTTGCCCCTATTATACCTCTACCTGCTGCAAATATACTATTTATGGACTGTTTCTTGAATCACAATCTAGAAAGTAAAGCTGCAGTGAGTAAAAATAAACTGACTTTTCAATGGTAAGAGACATTCACGGACCTTATGACATAGCGAATTATCACTGCAGCTGGGTGTTAAGCATGTCCCCTTGTTACTGACGTCATTGTAAATAAGTCTGTTGCATTTCAGCTCTACTAACTGCCTACAGTTTCAGGGTAGAAAGCTAGTAATGGCGGGAAGACGTCAGTCGATGTCCGCCCAGATATCACGGCAAGCAAGGTGAGTTTCACATTCCTAACAAAGACAGGTGGTTACTGCTCAATTGCTCTAAAAAGGGTTATCTTATTGGCACGGGTGCTGTACAACAGCAACTGCGTGAACTAGTACTCAAAGGGTACAAACAGCAAATACCCTGAAATTCCATAGATAAGAGCGGTAGACACTACCGGTGAAAAATGAATTGGAACGAAATTGGAATTGAATGCAGTCACCCTCTAACTTGATGGTTGGATTAATTATACTTCGATAGCGATATAAAAATAGCGATTTTATTGGATCGCTGTTTTTCTATATGAATTGTTTAATAAGTGGGCGGGGTTTAGAGCTGAGGGGCGGAGCTTCTTCATAACTTCTTCTTCGAAGTTTAATTTATCTATCCATCAAGTTAGAGGGTGACTGCATTCAATTTCAATTTCATTCCAATTCATTTTTCACCGGTAGGGTCTACCGCTCTAATCTATGGAATTTTAGGGTAATAAGAAAACCTCTCAGCGCTTGAGCACTTAGCTCCAATTTTTATACTGTCAAATAACAGATTTGCATGATCCT